GTAGAGTTCTAAAGTTCAAAATTTTCTGAGATATGTCTGAGGTGTGACCTTGTTAATTTTGCAATCTGTGGTTATTAAAAGTCATAATTGGTGATTATTTCTAAAATTCACGTTGTTGGATTTATGCCAATAACTAACTTTGGCTAGTGATATTGTCACAATTAGTCTTCTGTATGATTAATAAATTCAGAAACTCCTTCGAGGACTGGTACTTGCATATTAATAACTGGTTCACCTGGAACTTTCGTGCAATGAAAAATTGTTCCCCAGCGACTAATTCCGTTAACAAATTGTATCTGGATTGTCGATAATATTCAATGAAGCTTCCAATAAATTAGACATTTTACTGTTTGAAGCCTAAGATTTTCAAATATGAATGAGAAACTGGCTTAACATCAATAATGTCAATTATAAATATCTTATCTTGAGACGTAGTGACTATATCAAGGAAGCATTGATCAAGTGAGTGACGTTAATATATTACCGGATAAATTATGTAATTTTTTGGCGCATGTCATATCTATTAGGTACCCTGCAGTTCTACACGTTTAGACCTACAAATGTAGTGAGATATTTTTCAATACTCCAGTTTATTATAGAAATAGGCATAGCATTACCTTTAACAGCGTATAAATATCATGTATATGATAACAAAAGGTAAATAAACACAAGTTATAATTCATTTCAAATGGCACGGAACTCCAGTATGGCAATATCTCAATTCTATGAATTAGGATAAGTATGAGAGTGTCCTCGTCATGTTCAACATCGTTCTCTAACCCGACAGAACTATGAATGTTTCGCATCATCCTGCACGATCATCACACGTAATAAATTCAACAAATTTTCCTCTTCATTGCCGCCCACCAGTCCCTCTAGCCGAGATCGTTGCCCCCCGATTCCAATCGTCCATTTATGATATTGCATTCCAGCTGCCTTACACTGCCATAACGCACCCTGGAATCCTAATATTACACATACCACACTCTTCCCTCACCCTCACTGCCGAGCCCCAACCCTCGCCATGACACACCAACCTCGTGTTCCCTCGGCCTTCCCTCGTCAAAACGACGGATTCTCGGCGAAACTCTCGGGGTATCTTGAAAGACTGGAGAAGCAGACTCAGGAGTTTAGGTATGAAATTGAAAGTCATGTTGTTGGTTTACAACTTTATTTTTTTAACCTTTTCGAGAAAAAAAATTTTTTCTGTCGCATTGAAAAAGAAAATTATGATTATTATGAGGTTTACGCTTTATTTAATATAATTTCCCGATTAAAAATGAGTTTTCTGCTGAATTACTTACGCTCACATATCGTTCTTTTAATTTTTTCACTGTCGTTTACTATCAACATAATTAACAGTTTTTGACATCTGCAATTCGTAACATTTTGGCAATCATTTTCCAGCAGCCGAATATTCATGGCATCAATACTCAACTTATCAGCATCATTCACCAATAATCATTTTCCAAAATAATTCTGGATAAAAATAATAAGGATACAAACTGGTAAAATGTCCAGTTCACCTTACTTGCCTTCTTCATCAGAAATTCGAGTGTTAGCATTTCATTTCTTCAGAAGAACTTGTGTCCTGTTTAAAAATGCTTCCTGTTTAAAAAATTTTTGCTCAATGCTTCTATGCTCAAAGACTGCTCAATCGCTGCTCCACTGTTCACAAGTTGTTTCTTTATTGCTTCTTCGTTCAAAAAACGGAAATTTGTTATTTGTCTGTAAAAATGAGCGTTCGTTAGCTGTTTCACTTTCGAGCGGGTTTCGGATTCATCGACATTTTTTCAGAAGGCTTTGTGTTCAAAGCGTCTCCACACTGAAAGTCGCGTAATCAGTGCTTCTCTATGCAGATTCCTTGTTTTCAGAGTTTTTATATCCTGAAGGCCGTTTGTTCATTGCTTCAATTTTCAGCAGGCAGCCTTTTCAGCGCTCCTCTGTTCAGATGACCGCGCGTTCAAAGCTTCCCATCTCAGAAAGCCGCGTTTTCGCTGCTGCTTCGCTCTTCGGCCCGCGGCATCCGTTGCAACGTCACGTGCTCCGCTACGTGCGTGCAGGAACGCTTGTCGCACCCCGTCCTCTAATTGGGAGAAAGCCTTTATAGTAACTTCGACGTCGCAGAGCTAAAATTATTCTTAACCTTCAATGACTGCGCCATCAACCTCAACTAGTAAAGAAAACCCTACTTCTGGTAGGTCATCATTTGAAGTAAAAAGCAGTGATAGCATCCGTAAGCATGGATAAAATTATAGGATATAGTGGCATTTATTTATTTTATTTATTACTGTTTGACTTTTCATTGAGTACTTCGGTCCTCAACTATTCATGTCCATCGCCGGTTTCAGACAAGCGAACACTTTTTCAGACACAGTTGATCATGATTGACAGTCACTAAAAGCTTCTTTCATGAGAACACTATTCTGCGGTTGGTGAACTGCAATAACCGCTTACTAGATCATACAATTCCATGTTTGTCATAGAGACCAGACCTGGACCTGCAAAGCTCCTTCTGCAGCCCCCACCCCGCCATGGCCGAGGCGGGCTCGGCGGAGCGTGGCTGGAATGCGTGTGGCAGCAAATAAAGCCATGGCAGCGCGTAAACATCTTCTGATGAAGCCCACACAGCATCCCATTGTTTGAGCCTCCTCTTTGCTCCGCCCCCCATCTCCACCACACGTAAATTTTTCGGTTTTTTAACTAAAAATTTTTATAGTTCTTCTCTGAGCACTACATTCGTTAGCGAAAGTGAGCGAGGAAGGACCGTTTGACATGCTTGTCATTCCAGCGTGAAGGCGCCATTTTGCAGCTGAAGTCAATACGAGCTATTTCTTCTCGCGCCCGCTGGTATCGCCAAACTTGAGCAAGATACCGATCTTCTATTAGTATTACTAATTCGAATAAATTTGCACTTTCGTTCCCGTTAATGAAATATTACAGTTAGCAATGGACCTAGCGTGCAATACGCAAATGAAACTACTTGTTCAAAGTCTGTGAAGTCAAACTAGTACTACGTAAAAACTATGTTTATTTTCCTTTCATGGCTTTTTTTGGTAGGGCAGTTTGGGTTGATTTAAAAATAGTTAGGTTAGCGAAAGTTTTGCTGTTTGATAACTTATTGTAGCGCTAGTCTAATCAGTGTGTTGTACAAGGCCATGACAAATGTGCCCATAAATACCAAGGCTCAGTTAACTAGAGCCTAGTCGCGAAACTATAGTAGAACCTTGAGCTTGAAGCTTGAGTATCAAAGCCTGAAATCTCTAAGAGAAAAATTATGATTTTCAGTTGATATTTCTTCCAGTTCCGGAAATTGAATGTAATTAGGGTTATAAAGATTATCAGGAGTTGTCCTGGTTTCTACAATCGTGGCACTGCATGAGCCCAATTTGTATTTGATGCGAGCATGTCAAACGGTCAGGTAGAGCAAATAACACAAAAGATATGTTGAGCACTGGGCTTTGTCCTGGAATCTAGGAATTATAATACCTGTTTAATAATTAAATAGTCTAAACAATTATTAATTAATATCAATGCATAAACCGAACAATTTAAGCTTCTTAACCGCGAAGTGCAGAGTTTAGAGCCGTTAAGAAACGTATATAGTTGCCTCATCTTAATTGTAAGCACACAAAGTTTGCAGCTTATTGATGCTTAAAGTGGTGACGCGCTACATACTGTTCAACGTGTGAAGCCATGCAGGCGCTGTCTAAACAAAGCTCTTTCGTCATCCCTTGGCTGTGCAATAATCCATCTGGCCTGAAGTTTGGTAGAACTGTTCCTACAACTTGAACACTTCGCAGAGAGCTAAGTTCTGCGACCATGCAATGTGGCCACTATCTCTACACCTTAAGTCGATGAATGGAAGCTTTTTAATTAGATTTATGCACAGTTATAATTAAAAATTATTCTATAATGCATGATTATAAATCCTTCGTTGTTAATGTATGGGAGTGAACATGTATATGTATGAGGTACCGTGCATGCGAATGGTTAATAACAGGTAAATTACGCTTAGTTCAGAAAGATTAGCTAGTATAAGTAACATAAGGGTAACATTTTCGTCGGTCTGAAATATTAAGCTCTACATACTCTATACACTCATAAGCAAATAAAGTCCGTAATTATATTGAAATATTTATCCATTGAAGAATCCTCTAGTCTATAAGTTATGATGAGGGTGATGAGACAAAAGAGCGCCATCTGAACGCACGGTCATCATCTCGGTGTTATGGAATACGTGGCACACGCTGCGCCGGATCCTTTTCACGGACCGTCAAGTTCATGAGTCCGGTAATGTGGCGCTAATGGAAATATTGGACGCATCACCCCGGATTATGTAATTTAATGCGCCAGATGATGTGGCTGCTGACATGTTTCTAGATCATGAAGACAGCTTATATTGGAGGCACGCTTATTGTTTCCCTGCACCCGAGTCAAGGGAAAATGCAGCGTCCGCATCAAAGTAAACTCGCCTGCAAATAAATACGATGAGAACGTCACGCAGTAAAAGTGGCGAAATATAAGTGAAATATTATTTGAAGACTTATATTATAATTTATTTGAAAATTTTGCTTACAAATATGTGGCCTTAATGTGTGCAAAATATTTTGCATCGATATCACATTTCATAACAATGTAAATTTTCGTACATTTTCGGGATTAAGACTTTATTTAATACTAGTAAATACTTTTTTAGTACAGAAAATACAACGCTACTCGTCCCGCTCCACGTTAATCTCATTGCCATTTTATTCTGGAACTTTTTCAAGTTATAACACAATTTCGTTCCATTAACCAATACTTAATCGCCCTGGAGCTTATAGGAATTATTTTGTTGAAGCGTATTTTTTGTAGTTTAAGAAGGAACTCGATTTTCTGTTTAGAAATACCCGCGCTATTGTTCAGAATTAGCACGCAACTGTAACTCGTTGCTCTGTCTCGAATTAAATTTTTCATAAGACAACAAACATACAGAGGTAGGTAATAAACAAATTTCATTCATATATATAGTTTGTTTATTGAGTATTAAAATTTTTCGTTATATATGCGTCTAATTTCTCTTAATCATCACAACTTTTTCAATTTGCGATTGTTTGCATTCTTTGGCCAGGAAATTTGCTTCGATTGAAATATTGATCGAACTTTTTATGAGTGAATTGTTCTTCTTACTAAATAAATGTGGAGATCGCGAGGACATTGCAAAAACAACGAATCTTGAAATTGGAAAAAAATCCGCCCCTGGGGCAAGTAAACAATTTTTAACGTCCGTAGCCGTAGCCTCCTCGACCGCCTCCAAATCCTCCAAATCCACCGCCACCAAAGCCGCCAAATCCGCCATAACCAAATCCACCGCCACCGAAACCACCACCGCCAAAGCCTCCGAAGCCACCACGACCAAAGCCACCGCCACCGAACCTCCCGCCTCCATAACGAGATGGTTCAGCTTCTCTCTTCTCCCGAACATCGGCAGGTCCGAGACTAACATCGCTTCTCACGTCGCTGCTCATGAGCCTGGAAGCGGTGCCGTAGACCTGGTCCGAGCCTGCAACCATCGCCATGGCCAGCAGCAGCGTCAAGGTTACCTGCCGGCAATGAACAAGAACTTCATTAATTTGAAACGTTTCACAACGCGTATTCTGTCAATTCCATTGATAAAGAATGATTTTAAACATATTGAAGTGGATAGTTTAAAAAAAATTCTGTTATGTTACCGAATACCGACGCAATAGACTAAAAACGCGAGAAAAATAAAGCCTTCACCCGATATTCAGTTGACCCGGCTACTTAAACAAATGCTTTTGAGACTGAATAACGCCCGAAGCTGCAGTTCGTGGTTAAAAAGTGTGCGCATTAACGTTTAATTTCAAAAACAATCCTCAAGAAGCTTGCTGCTCAATTTACATTCGATTATTATGGGTAACTCAAAATAAGTAAAACACGAAGTGATATTAACACAGCAGCAATTAAATTACAGTAATATATTCTTAAAGTACTTAATGCCAGGTAAATAATACTTTTTCGATCAAGTACGGGATACATTCTTAAATTATAAATAATTGATAGATATGTGCAGAATAAAACTAAAATGACGAGTCTAAATTCTGAGTAATCTATTTAAATTTACGTATTATTAATATTTACAGACTTTTAAACAAGCAATAAAAATTCTTTTATTTATTCAAAAATAATAATAACTGGTACTTATTACAAACTTGGGATACTTACCAAAGCCAGATTCATTTTTGCTTCCAAGTTGTTGTTGCAGTGCGAGTGCGCCACCGAAGACTGCCGGATCCATGCGGACTGCGGATTTTATAGCACCGGATCGAAAGTGCCGAGTCACTCTTATTTCGAGATTGCTTCGCGAAGATTGCCCTCCACTGACCATGACTTAAAATGGAACCCAATTATACTGTCCTGAGGATGTTTTATGCATCTCGGCATTTCGGCCTAAAAGAATCGTTTTCGCATCACATCGGTTTTAACGCGCTTAGATTAAATCCTAACAGAATTTTTAGTCCTATGAATTATGTAACAAATAATTCTTGCAGAAAAATTTACTTTTAACTCATGTTCTTTCCTGAATATGCAAGGTAATTTCTTAATAACATCATGTGCAAAACTAAATAGCCCAGCTATAGGTCAATGAAGCTCGTGAACATTAACTTAAAAATACCTCAAATAAGTAACTTAAAATTATTTGTTCACTCGATTATGTACCTAGATAAAACACAGTGAATTATGAGAATACATTTCTTCAAGTTTATGTATAATGTATGATAATTTGATCTGACTTGCAATAGGATGCTTTTAAGAGAAAAGAGCACGTAGTTTTCCAATACCTAACACGTAACGCTTCGTAACCTCACACACAAGATAGGGTTATTCCGTGACTTTTAAAGAAAGTATTTCGTTCTAATACAAACCCTTATGATCAACAATGAATTATTTCCTCGGAGGAATTTGTGAACGAATAAGCTAGGAGCATAGCTGAACGCACCGTCAGTTATTAATTTGGCTTGTCAATAGGAAATGCCGTTTCTCCTGAATATCACAGTCATTGGCCGATCAGAAGACGCTAATTTATTAGGGTTTTCTGTAGTGAACTCACGACTTAAAAATTAGCTTGACAACAGAAGTTTATGTTATGCACCCCCCTTCTCACTTCCATCACTGAAATAAATCGTTACACCACTTGCGTTACACTTGTTGATATCAACCGAAATAAGACACTCATAATTTAAAGGAAAAGTTTTCTCTATAGAAAAAGATTATTCTTCTACAGTATGCCACGAAATTGTAATAATATTATTACGCGATATTTAAGGGATATGCAGGAGCTGGACGAGTCGATGTCCATCGCATTCGCAAAGATCTTGTTTCTTCTTTTTGCGCAGCTGCATGGAGCTTGCAAGGCCTGCTCGGATGGCAAATCCCCCACCAAATCATAAGTGGTGAATTTTCGAAGAAAATTCACACTTGTTAAAATATGCAGGAGGTAAAATACCATATAAATGGAATTCGAAAGGAGCGAGTGAAGACTCATTTCATGTTTGTGTGCGAACATAATTATCATTTAATTAGCGCAGTTGTTTGTGTATTTTATCACGAAATAACGTTTTGTAATATTGTGGTGATGTGGCAAGAAGAACTATTTCAGCTCGCAAACAACAAGATGCCCCGTCATGCATGGGGATTCAAAGTGTAGTAAACGTCCTGGGATTAGACTTCCCCGACGGGGTGGGGAGTCCCCTGGTGTTGCTCTTCTAAATTACGCTATTGTGGCAACTCATCCTCGCATCGTCTCTTCGCGGTCACTTGAAAAATACCTACGGAGCGACGACCGACACCTCACTTGCCGCAATTATATTCAAATATTAACAGAAAGTGTTCACTCGCTCATATATTATTCATGTGAACAATTCATCCAACGGAAAATTTGAAATTAAATTTTACGTCATTAATTGCATGCGTGCCGAAGGAAATCAAGTAACGTAAATGACTCTTGTTGCAGTGTGCCCTTATACGTAAATATTTATTTTGCCTAAGTCATCGACGGCATCTTGCAACGCAGGTATTCGTTCATCTCGTTTGAGTTCAATTGAGAGACGCGAAGTAATCCTTTCAGAAGGTCAAGTCTTGTTAACCGGCATGACTGCACAACCGCGTATAGAATCATCGCTGCACTGCGACTTCGTTTACGGAGCTAGGGAGGGTTAGGTTATGCTCACGTAGTACTTTTTATAATAAAACATCATTTGATTGGTCTGATTATTAATTATTCTTTGGTTAATTAGCTGAAATGCAGCATATGCCCGGCAATGTATGATTTTTGTGGTTCTTCTGCACTTGATTATCCAATAATAGTTATAGGAACCGCTCATTGAGTGCGATTTGCATTTGTCTGTTTATGTTAAGTCAAATAGCATTCATAGCTTCAAATCGACGTATATTAAGCTTTCTTATTGATTTCAATTCTACTTCGAAGAATTCATAATGAAGGTGGTCTTTTTAACGTTTTAAATAAAATATGGCGCACTTATTTTAAATATTTCTTGCTATTTAATTCGTGTTCAAATTTGGTCATTCAAAGCTCAGGTCTAAATAAGGTCGAAAACATATTTCTACACCAATTATATAAGCTGATACGGATTAGAGACTCTATAGGCTGAAACATGGTTTAGACTTTGATTATTATTTAACACATTATTGATTATTTGATTTTAAACATTTAAGCATATTGACTGTTTGAACTGTGTAGGGTAACATGGGGCAGCACGCCCTCCTTTTTTAAACTAAATATTTGATAAAGTTTTAATTGATACGAGGTAGTTCTTTGTTCCGTTTAAAGTTACAACTAATGAGGAATTTATGACATGAATTAGATGCCAAAGAGTTATGCAATTTTTAATGAGACACTTTATTGTAAAAAGTGTCGAAAAAATTGGCCCATTGCCCCACTCTGGGGCAGTGGGCCCATGGGCTTGGGGCAAGGCGTCCACCTCTGGTCCCTTTACCACAATTGCATATGTTTTGTTTAAAAATGATGAAACAACGCTTTACAGTTCAAAATAAGAAAAATTTGATACAAAAATGTTACATTCATTCATTCATTAACAACAAAAAAAAAACATATCCTTAACTTGAAAAAAAATATATATTCTTGGCTTTAAAAATCTATCACTGACTTGAAAAAATATATTTCCTTGACATAAAAATATATATCTTTGACTTGAAAAATATATCCTCGCAATAAAAAAATTCATCCTTGACATGAGAAAATGTATCCTTGACTAGAAAAATATATATACTTGATCCGAAAAAACTTCGTTCCAGTGACGTCCATAATTCAGATCTTATGTTCAGAGAATTCGTACCTAATCGTGATTTCAGAGAACACCATAAAAACTCATCAACTTTTGGCTCATTGATGTTGACTGAAATCAACTTTTGGCAAGGCATGAGTCAATAGCTCGATACCGGGTCATAAATACGCATATCTAGAAACTAGAACCTGCTGCCTTGAGGCGGCAAATCAAAAAAAAAATGCAATTTGAAGTGCAATTGGTAATTTAAAAAGCTAGTCATTGATTTGAAGATATCTAGGTAACATTTCAATTTTTGTCGTTTCAACATTTTAGTTTAGAAGCTAATGGTCTTAACTTGAACTCAAAATTATCCCTATAAATAATACTTTCAAAATATAACTCACAGTTTTTTCAAAAGCCCTATATAGAGTAATCGAAAACAATGTATTTAGCAGCAAAAAGCTTTTATCTGGGCTAAAACAGTTATTTGAGAGTAACTTGTCAACGCAAACTCTTAGCAAAACATAGGGCCAATATCTGCCATACTTAGCGGGAAACCCGCTATGGGCCCATGACCCGTAGTGGTCCCGTCACCCTATGTTACCCTAACATGTACGCGACCTGATGTCTGATTTTCTAAAAAATTTCGAAGCGTCCGTGATTCTCAAACTGAAATAAGTAAGGCTTTTCGAGGCAATTATTTCCGGGGTTATGAACGAATTTTTAGCTAGTAATTCTTTACTTAAGAAGAACATTTTGCATCTAACTGAAGAAAGTCCAGCAGAAGGTTGCTACTCTTGTCGCTCGCCGCGAAACTTTGCCCAGTGACCTAATATTAAATTCAAACTTTATTACCGCAAATGCAACCTTATAATAGTTATGTTTGATTTGGCTGATTTGTTATACGTATTAGTAGTCCTGCATACGGCGAAATGGGACTTACAACCGGCAGGGACTTCCAGGTGCATATGATGCTTTATCACACGAGTATTGGTACACAATGGATTAGCGCATTAATTGGTTAAATGGTTGGTAAACCGCTATGGACACATACATAAACAGTTTTGACATAGTGTCTTAAAACACTATAAAAAAGTCTGGTGGCTCATTGCTAACACTTGGTTCTATTCCGAATGTCAAGCAGATCCGTTCACTATTTTAGCACTAGTGATGAGTACAGTTGTGCATAAGTTGCGTTCTTCTGTTTTGAACTTTAACAAAACGACGTAAATATCTGCAATAATTAATATCGTGGCGCATTGTTTATAAGATATAATTAGGTACTTATATTCTTAATTACTAGGCAGATCTCTTCAGAATTGAAGGACTTGCAAGGCAGACTTCTGCTTTTGGAACTTTTTCCCATTCGAGACGAGACGAGACAAAAAGCTTTGTCCCGGTTTGCAACAAAAACCGGGACAATGTTCAGCACTCACTGGAAATTCCGGGACGATACCGAGACGAGACGAAACGTCCCGGTTAAAATAGGAGGTTTAAAATTTCACGGAATTTATATCTTTTATAGCGGGACATAACGAGACGAACCGCATAATGATATGATGTAGACTTTGTTTTTAGTTTACAGGCATATGCAATAACTTGAAACGAGTTAATTGACATTTCCGATCGTGGGCTCGGCTATTAAGATTGTTTTTGCTACATATTGTAATTTAACATGGCGCATATTCTTGACAAGGCAAGTAAAAATTATGATAAAATTTTCATACTTTTTATTTTTCCATATGCAATATTGTACTGTAATGCACATTAAATATATATTTTCATGATGAAGAGTTAAGAAAAATATTCAGTAACTAAGTCTATAATTTAATTAAGTTTCCGCTGGTTAAGGTCCATCAGTTGGAGCACTATAATTGAAGGAGTTATGAGTGCCACAGTTGAAAATGAAGTTCGAGCTCGCAGGCGAGTTCGCACGCGAGTTCGCTGAAGTGTCGAATCGGTGTTTATTTCGAGAAAATTATTCCGAGACGCAGG